GTGCTGCGCCTGGGACCCCTGGGGCCCCCGGGGCCCTCGGGGCCCCGGGGGCCCCGGGGGCCCCCGGGGGCCCCGGGAGGGGCCCCTGGGGGCCCCTAAAGCATGCATTTGATAACAAGAAATGCATGCTTTGTTTGGACTTGGGAAATAATGCTCCAGTTAGTTTCGAGTGCTGGGCCCGCTGCGGGGGAGGGGCAGCGCAGCGGCTATGTGTGGGGCCCCAGGAGTCTCATTCGCGGTGGGAGAGGGTTTAGGGTTTAGGGTTTAGGGTTTGGGGTTTAGGGTTTGGGGGTTGGGGGTTGGATGTTTCTTTTTGCTGCTATGGGGCTAGGGAAAAGGGTTTTTGAACTTAAGTTCTAATTTGCAAAAGTGCGCAGAAATGTGTTTCTAATTTAAATTATTATTGTTGAATTTTTTGTAATTTTGATTAAATATTTATCTTGCGTTTAAAATGTTTATTTAATTTTTAATACTTTCCTAAAATGCATGTTTGTAAGACGAGCTGTCTGTACACTCCAAGTGCATGCAGCGAGCTGTCTGTACACTCCAAAAATGCAGTTCTTTCTGTGCATGCATGCGTTTGAAAAGTAACTCCTCTAAGCATTTAAAATGGAGATTCTAAGTGATTAATTAAAATGAATATTTAAAATAAACATTTAAATGAAACAATTAATCAAAAAACTCAATTAAATAAACCAAAGACGCATTTGTGTGCTGCAGCTGGGCCCTCTTCGTCCCGCGGCTGCCGCTCGACCCCACAGCAGCAGCAGCAGCAGCAGCAGGGGATCACAGGGAGGCAGCAAAGGAGACACTTGCCACTCAAAAGGAGACACTTTTGAATCAAATTGATAAACATATTCGCCTTTCCTGGGTCTCCGCCCCAACCCAAAGTGGCTCTCTTTCTCTTCTATCTTTGCTGCAGAGTGCAGCAAAAGCAGCCAGGCGGCGCAGGGGGCCCCCGGGGGCTCCCCAGGGGGCCCCCCCGGGGGGCCCCCCGGGGGGCCCCCAGGGGAAATCGCCACCCCCAGCAGCAGGGGGGCCCCCGGGGGCTCCCGGGGGGCCCCCAGAGGACTCAGGGGGCCCCCATTGGGAAGAGACAAATAGGCTGCAGGCTGCTGCAGGAGCAAGTCCTACAGGCAAGCAAAGGGGTGAGGCTGCTGCTGCAGAGCAGCAGCAGCAGCAGCAGCAGCAGCAGGAGCAGCAGCAGCAGCAAGGGGAAGGGGATGAAGAGGACCCCGTGGCTCCTCATGAGCTTATGGATCTGCTGCAGCTGTCGCACCTGGAAAGCCCAAAAGTGAGCCTCAAAGCATGCATTTGCTGCTGCTTCTGCTGCTACTGCTGCTGCTGCTGCTGCTGGATGTTCGGCTCATCTCACAGTGTGTGGACACGTAGACGCAGCTTTAATTGCAGACTTTTGGATCTGTTTGATTTTTATTAAATTTAAATCTAAATTTAAATGTGAATTTATTTTTCTTATTATTTTTAGATATACTCTGAGTGAATTTGGTCGAAGTAGCGCTGCTGCTGCACTTGTGCGCAGGTGCTGCTGCACCTACGTCTTGTGCGCAGTCCAGCAGCAGCAGCAGCAGCAGCAGCAGTTGCAGCG